TTTTTTTTTTTTAATGTCCAGAGGACCAGATCAAACTTTTTTAGAATTCTCTGAGTTATTTTTATTTGTCCTTTTTAACTAAGGTGGCCATACTGATTTTTTAATTTGGATTCAGCATGGGATAGGGAACATACTCAGCTATAACCCCACCAAATTTCAGCTCTATATGTGTTTAAATGGCTGAGCTAAAGCCATTTAAAAGTAGCATTGGTGGCCATCTTGGATTTTTGATTTCAATGCAGCATTTGATGGGTCACGTTCTCAGCTACCATCACACCAACTTTCAGCTTAATATCACTAAAATGGGGGCGGCTGTGACTGAGTGGTTAGAGCAGTCGTCCTCCAATGCGAGAGTTGAGGGTTCGAATGTACCAGCAGTCACATGCTGAAGTGTCCCTGGGCAAGACACTGAACCCCTCATAGCCTCTGATGTGTCCCATCAGTGTATGAATGTGATCTAAAGCTCTGATTAGTCTCATTAGAATGATGTGTTCAATTAGCATTGTAGAGATCTAGTAGAGTGCTGTGTGAATGGGTAAATGAGGACACAGATTGTAGTGTAAAGCACTTTGAGTATCTTGAAATAAGATAGAAAGGCGCTATATAAGTACAGTCCATTTACCATTTAAAATTGGCTGATTTATAGTATTTTTCTTTTTTTGCTCAGGCAGCCATCTTGGATTGTTGATTTTCAGTCAGTGTCTATTAGGGATTGTTCTCAGCTACCGATACTTCTGGTTTCAACTTGCTTGGGGAAAGGACACTTGAAAATTCGCTCTGCTCTACTCTGAGATAATTTAACTTTTAACACTTTATACGATTTGCACTTACTATAAACTGTTTTTTGTTGTTCTTTAAACTGTTTGCGAGTTTCCTATGCTTGTCGTTTGTTGGTTTTATGTTTTATTAGTCCCGAGCAGCGAAGCGCTGCAAATGTCTATTGTAATCGCTCTGTCCAAGCCCGAGCTACAATTTTTTTTGGCAAATGAATTGGCGTTTCGGGGTGGCTGTGGCTGAGTGGTTAGAGCTGTCGTCCTTCAATGTGAGAGTTGGGGGTTCGAATCCACCAGCAGTCACATGCTGAAGTGTCCCTGGGCAAGACACTGAACCCCTCTGATATAAAAATATGTTTTATAAAAATATATTAAGTTGCCTTTATGC